ATAAATATATTTTATAAAAAAAACCCCACATCACCAACATAGCTCTTTAGCACAGAGTAAACGCAGTATGTTAAACTTAAACTGACAAAGTAAACAGCACAGACGTGACAAAGAAGTAGGACCCTCCAGGGGCGCCCACCTCTATAGTCTTGGAGGTTGCTTAGATACTGTGTCTGCGAATATAATTTGTATTGAAAAGTCATAAAACGACCAACAAGCTGAGCCAAAGTAAATTAAATAGACTAGCACAAAAAGTCAAGGAACAACAATTCAAAGTAAGATAACTGAAAAACATTTCAACTAAATTTATTCATTTTTTCCCAAAAAGATGCTTTCGACTCTCTAGATTATGTGAGTACAATTTCAGATTCCAACAACAACGAGAAGTGTATGAAGAATAAGCTTAAATCACACTGGTAGGATTTCAAAACCCTGAACAGCAATTGTTCTTCATGAACATTGTCAATAGTGGGTGTAGCCACCATGATTGATCAAACACTCGGTGCAACGTCGACGCATGGACAGGACATGCCTTTGGAGAACTTGTTGAGGTAGGTTTTGCACTCCTGGACGAGATAGCCCAAGAGTTGTTGAGGGTTTTGTGCAGAAGGGTGGTTGTCCCTTATACGCCGGTCAGTGTGATCCCAAATGGTCCAATCTGCTGAGGGAGAGGAACAGCAAGGGGACGCAGGATTTCGTCCTTGTACTCTGCCGCAGTCAAAATTCCCTGTATGTGCTACAGGGGGATCCTGTGGTGATCTGAGAAGCCTCCCTACTCCAGAACGGACCCTCCACCGTAGGGCACCACATACTGGATGCAGTCAGGGTGGAACCGCTCTCCTCGGCGCCTCCAGACGTGGGCTCGCCTGTCTGGGTGCAGCAAGTTAAATCTGGATTCTTCCGAGAACACTACCTGGTCCCACTGACGTCGTGCCCACTGTGAATGGCGAGCAGACAACGCCCGGTGAGCTGCTTTAAATGGGGCGGTGTATGCCCAGGCCGCCTGGCAGGGACACGAGAAGCGAACCTGACTCTACGGAGACGGATCCTCACCGTCTCCTGGTCCACGTGGACATTAGCTGTCATCCGTAGTTGGCCCCTGATGTGATTTGCAGGGTTTTTTCGTGACGTCACAGCCTGTTTGACGATGAACCGGTCGCTCCTGTCGTTGGTAAAACGGAGCCATCCTGGTCGAGGCCTATCCTGGACCTTCTGGTCGCCGGCCATCGTTCTTGCAGCCTCCATATGATTGATGGGTACACCACAAGTCGACGTACAACGACTCAGAACGTGGAATCATCTTGGAGCCAGGCAAGGGCTCGTCATCTGTTGACACCAGGCAGCGAACGTCTTTGGACAATCGTGTTGTAATGAAACACGGTTGAAAAACACTGGTTTATAAAGGGTTACAAGTGAGTGATATTTACAGCCAAGACATCTGTTTAGCACGTACTAAGCTCAGTTTTTGCCACCAGCCCCTATGCCAATGTTTCTGAGGCAGAGAAATTTAGTCCATTTTTCAAGCTTTTCGGCTGTGTTTTGGCATGGTCTGCGTCGTCACCGCGAAGCCTGTGTGGTAAATTTGCTGTGCATGCAAACTGTGTCTAGTTGTCAGTGTGTGTGCCAAGTTTGGTTGACTGAACTTAACGAGTTCGCGAGATATTAAAGTTTAGATTTGACAGATGAAAACACAAGTTGTTCCTTGACTTTTTTGTTCGAGTTTAGTATAGCGAAGAGCCCCGGGGTAGGCGTCTTCACGGTGTCAGCGTGTGTGTGTGTGTGTGTGTGTGTGTGTGTGTGTGTGTGTGTGTGTGTGTGTATGTGCGTGCGTGCGTGCCTCTTCATCGAACTGATAAGTCTCCTGAAGAGAAGACCAAGTTTTCTTTTTCTTGATCCAAAATATCCTACTAGATTTCAAAGAGCCAATTTTTAAGGCAGAACTTACTCTTCTGGACCTATTTCGTGATTCTTCTTTTTGCCAGGGCCCTGGCCTGGTAAACAGACAATTGGACAAAAGGCAATGTGAGTCAAGAGGAAAGGGCTCGCGAGGTCAAGAGGTACGAAGTTCGTCTCTCATTCTTTTTTCTTTTTGGCAAGTGTTTTACGGCGCTCGCAACTGCATAAGGTCATGTGAGCGCGAGGGATACATTTATCATTTACAGTGGGCAGGACATTTTGAATTTTGCCCGGGTTGCGGAAGAAGCCTACTCTTATCGATTATAGACCACCAAGGGACCTTTAACGTGCGCAGCTTGCACATGGGACCTCCGAGATTTTTTGCCCTTATCCGAGAAGGTTAGATGTAGATCTTACCTACCAGAATATCAGGTGTGTGGCTGAAAGGCAGCAGTAAGTAGCCAAAGAGTAGCAGTAGAAAGGTTGCAGAGTCAGGAGCCCACGGGAGAGGGCAAAGGAGGTGAGGGGGTGGGGGCAGAAAGTGGAGACGAAAGCAGACGACATCATTGTTAGAGAGCAGGAAAGGATGTGAAAGTGAAAGGAGAACATTTTTAGAGAAGAGAAAATTTTTCGTCGCTATCCGGATTTGAACTCACAACCTATTGATTGAGAGGCGAACACTTTAACCTCTAGACCACGAGAGCCCCTGCCTCTCATTCAAAGTCAAAGTGTTCCGGGATGCGTTCTGAGTTCTCCGAGTACGCTCAAATCAGAAATTCAAAGACCTACATTTAAATATTTACGGTTCAGTTTCTCTTAGAAAAGTGTGGGCCCACTTTTACATCATAAACAACTTTGCGGGTTTCTTTAGACTCAAATCGCTCGCACAACTTTATAGTACCACTGATATACCCGAAGATACTCTCACTCTCAATGGAAATTGGAAACCGATTCTGAACATTTGTGCCACGATATTTTTATTTATGAACAGTTCACGGCGCATTACTGAAATTGATGACGAAGCGCACAAGATAATTAATAGTAAGATAAAAACTTCCGCTCAGAAGTATTCCGTATTGAAACCCAGAGGGAGCTTACAGTTCCACTTCTATCTCGGGGAGTTTCTCAGCTGCTAACGTGAAACTTTTTAGAGGTATGCTGTCATTCCTCTGAAGGTGTTCAGTATAGGTCCTGGTCGGGATATATATTCTGTCCCCCGGCCTTGTGCCCACTGGTTTAGCGAGGCGGATACTGCCCGAGGCACCCGAGGGACGGAGAAACCTGCCCCTCTTTTCTACCGAGCGGACCGTTATTGTCCCCCCCAAAAAAATTAATATGTTGTTGCGTGGTATTCCTTTTGGATGTCTGGTATCGTTTGTTTCCATCTTTCTAAGTTGAATTTCTGCTAGTTTACTGAAATTGTAAAACATTAACTCACATTTTGATCTTTCGGCAACGTTTTATGGCACAATGGTAAAGAAGCATAACCTCGTTTACATTCAGATTGTTCAATTATGTTTTCTTTAGGCCTATCCTGGAACTTGAAAAGGTAAGCAACGGCGTGCATACAATGGAATATTATAAGTTCTGATTTGGTTATTGGTTCGACACGGGCCTCAACATAATTATTGCCTTTGATTTCTTTGATCTACTGATGATCGAACACATGTCTCCCTAGCTCTAGGGCACATTTGGAAGGATGATTATCCAAGGGATGACGTTTGACTGACTGAATCTCTTGCTCGTCCAGAAATACCACATTTACAGGCCCTATTTGACCAAATATTCATTCTCAAATTCATGTAATTAAAATTAAGGCTAAAATCATAACTTGTCGTGGCATGTGTAAGTACATATGAAAAACTTTGTTTTTTTGATCAGTTTTGTTGTAGAGCTACTCGTCTCTTCATAATTTCAATAAGATTTAGTCAGCACATTTTCAATAGTTTTTGGTAGGCACTGTTCTGAATCTGATTAATTGTATTGCTTGAAGATGCTTTGTGGCCCCATTGATACAAGCTAGATTATTCAGCAGGAGGCCGCTTAGCCCACTTTTGTAAGGGTCTACCCGAGAATCCCAGCTTACACATAGAGACACTCGATCAAACATCTTCCGTATTCCCTGTTTAGAACTCGCATCTTCGGTGTTTACTGTAAAGATTTATATTCCTCTTTACGTCCAACGACAATGGCGTGTATGGCTAACTCTGAGGAAGGCAAACAAATTTTATTTTAGTGGCACGGCCGTCTTGGAAGCGTGTTCCGTATTCAGGTGTTTAATGCTGAGGCTATATCTACAGCAAGTAAATCTATAAAAAGTTTTCGTAAGATTATAAATATGGGTACATCATATTTATTTTGGTATGAAGATTAACATGGAAGAATGATAATAAATTGCTTTAACCTTGGTTTTCATGGCATAATCGGTAGAGTGCCGAGATGCATTACTTCATTTCCGATTTAGTGTATTCTACAATGCGACATAAAAAGACAAGTTTTTGTTTCGATACTGTAAAATTGCAAAGTTCTATCTTCTAAGTACCCAGGGTGATCCAAAAAAAAGCAAACAAACAACAAAACTGTACAACTTTTTTTTTCAAATATCTCACACAAAAATTATTCTAGAGTGCTGTAAATTTGGAACAGACAAAATTCATTCAAAAAGAATTTGTTTGACGTAAAATCTGCGAAGAATAAACTTATTTTGAAAACGCAAATGGCTTAAAGAAAAACGCATCATAAAACGCAAAGTTCACCAATTTTTTAAAATCTTGTAAAGGAAGTCGTGAAAAGATTGGTTGACTTTTCTTTTCTTTTTTTCCTCTTTGCCATTTAATTTTCCATCCCTTTAACATTTAAACAATATTTAATTTCTTTTACAGAGTTTAAAAAACTAGCGATTTCATTTTGGAATTCCTAAAAGCAGTGCTCTACATGCCCTCCTTTTCAACTCGACATATTTTTAACGCGAAATTCGAAATGTTTTATGGCGCCCAAGCACAAGGACCTGCTACACCATAAGTGTTTAAAGGCACGTACACTGTACACATTCAGTATGAAGTGGCTTCTAGAAGCAATAGGGACTGGGGTGCCCAATAGACAGCTTTTTTTTGGAGTCAACATATCCCGCAGGGTGAAAATGGGCTTTGCATTAAGGCAAATGTCATTGAGGAAATGATCCCGTTTTTCAAGACAACCCTGGGATCCTGAACACATTGCCATGCTCTGATCCATGTCATCTCGGTCTAGCAAAGATGAAAATTGGTACTGTCGTAGGTCAAGATATGCCATGAGAATGCAGGCTGTTGAGGTGTAGGAAAGTCCCAGCGGCAAATCGTCTACGGACAGACGTCTCATGGTACTCGACTACTGAAATCTGTGCCCTGGTGACGTTGAAAGGGCTGCGCATGGTGCCTGTTCGACCTGAACTAGTCAATTTTTGGGACATTTTTAGTTTTGATTCGCTATAGACCCAAACTGACGAAACTTCTCTAGTCATGATACCAACGGTCTTGAGGGCACCCAAATTATCTTCTCATGCCGTGCACAGAACTCACAAAATGTCAGGGATGGTGAGTTTGTGCAGAGGTAATGTTCAATACAAAAAGCTCTCTGCTCTTTACTAAACTTAACCATGATATCAGCAAGCAAACAAAATTTGGGGAAAATAATATCTGCAGACTTCTGTTGACTTGTTAGAATGCTGTAGCTCGCAATATGGCGTGATTATTGCAACTTTTAGTAGTAGGCCTAAAGCAAACTGGTTCGTCATGCTACAAAAATGGGGCCAAGGTTGAAAATGGGCTGTTTTTATAATCGGCCATATAGAGCAAAACCATTCAATGGATTATCCAAAATGAATATCAGGCAAATTCTTTTTGGCTTCCAAATATTATGTTCAAATCTGAAAGGCAAAACTTTAATATGGTGGAAGATATTTACAAAACAAGTTGTACAGGGTTTTTTTTGGATCACCCTGTAGTTTTGATAAATTTGACTAAAAAATTGAGTTTCATGACACATGGAGCTTTTTCGAAGCAATTCTTCGAATATCTTTAATAACGACCCCAAACAATCTTACGAATTTGTTATACCTAATAGAACTGTGGTTTCTGACCTTGTTGTCTAACCTCGTGGTCTGAGTAACTCAAAACGGCCAAAACACATCAGATAGAATTTCGTAATTCTAAGGTAGCATATTGTCTTGAGACATCAGGTTCAAGTAAAATACTACTTTGTGTAAGGACCAAGGCAATGAGTTTAGACTAATTTGATGAGTGCCGTAAGCTGACCTAGTCTCTCGAACTTTCCTTTTCACATGGCTGAGTTCGGTCCAGAAAATTCTTGATATCTCGGAGAGAAGTTGAGTTTTCGCCAACTTGTATGCATGAATCTCTTCCGCAGGCCAAGAAACGTAATATAACACCCCCCCCCCTAACAAAACAACCCCCCCTC